CATCCCATCCCGTCTCCCACCAACCCTCCCCTCCCCATTTCATCCCATCCCGTCTCCCACCTAGGGCATCAGCCTTTCCTTCCGCCTCTTACAGACCAGAGATTTCACCCCTCGCACCTAGCAGATCCCCTGCCCAGGAGGAGGGGATTTAGCTATCCCTTGCATGCCTCTGTCCTTTTCCTAGAGATGATGCATGTTTCACGGTTTCTTATTTCTCCGGGCAGGAGGGAGAAGCGTTTCAATGCAGTGTGGGAGAGGGGGATCCTAGGCAGCCCTGGTTCAGGAAATATCCCTGTCTCCTCTTTCCCTTAGCATGAACATTTACAGCATCAACACCCTCTTGCATACAGTGTGTGTACACACTCCCCTGGGGAGAAAAGTGGGGGGAGGAAACAACTGTTACACCTTTTGTCATCAGCTGGAAGACAAAGAACTTGTCTCTGCTTCCCGTCTGTCCCTCCCTCTGGGTGCATATTGGCAGCACCTCAGCTGCTCTGCACTGCTTCCAGGAGATGCTTCATAAGGCTTTAGGATGGCCCTGACCTGCGCTTTTTTGTTGTTGGTGGTGCTGATAAAAGGACATGTTGATATATTTCCAGATGGACTTTGCATTCCTGAAATTGCTACTGCATTTTTATTCTATTCTATTTATTTATTTATTTATCTGGGGGAAGGTGTGTGTGTTGTGGTTCTCTATGGATGAAAGGTACAAGGTTGCATACAGTTGCAACATCATAGCGTGTAACACATTAACCACTGTTTCTCCCCCTTTCTGCTTTGTTTTCCAGTCTGGCAGTCTGCACATCACCCAGCGCATGAGAAGGAATGATGACTCCATGAGGGAACTTCTTTTCAATCACTCATTCACTCAGTCATGTCTCATGATGCTCCCAGCCAATAATGTGCCATTCACCTAGACTGGGATTTACCCTGTGAAAGGGAGAGATAGAACATGAGTCCTAAACATAACCTCAGGCTCTTTCTTTTGCATCATTTTTGGTGTATTTATATGTAGAACCCTGAGCATTGGGCACATGCACTGTTAAACCCTCTTTGCTAGATCCAAGAGCTGCAGCTGTGTGTTGGACTCTGATATTTTCTCATCGTCATCATGGCTTCAGTTTGGAAGAGACTGCAACGTGTTGGGAAACATGCATCCAAGTTCCAGTTTGTGGCCTCTTACCAGGAGCTGATGGTCGAGTGCACCAAGAAATGGTAAGAAGTGTGGTCAAGTGAGTTGCTGATGCTGGAGCATGGCTGTTGCCTGTTCAACTATGTGGTTTCCCTCCTTTAGTGCAGAAGCTGCTGGGTGGGGTGCAGATCTCTCTCTTAACAAGTGCCTTCCACCCCCATGGGGTTAATTATTGCACTCTAGTTTGATCATCTTAAGTGGTTGCTGCAGTATTAGACTGTGCATTTATTAGATATGAACTTTGATTTTTAGCAGCCTTATTTATTTATTTATTTTTTAACGGAAACATTTCCAAATGTCAACACATGTCTCAGAGATGGGTGTGATAAGCCAACTGTAACATCAAAGGGATATAGGGATTTGACACATTTTTCAGAGTGATAGTGTATCTTATTTTATTCTGGGTAGATCTGACTTTTCTTGCCTAAAGACTTCTCTTTCCCCTTCCATCTTTTGAATGGGAAGAGTGAGGACACAGAGCCTTGGGAATTATTTGAGTTATTTGCTGAGTCAGACAAGAATTTCGTGCTGTAATGGCCCAGTGGAACATATTTAGAGCTGGCTAGACTGCAGCAAGCAATTAACTGTATGGGTCTGTCTCAGTCACACCTCTCTCCTTATGCAAAGTGGACTCCTAGAGCTGATTGGATTTTTTTGGTCTTGTTTTGCATGGAGGACCAGGATCTAGGTTTTGTTTTTGGTGTTTCTTGTTTTACCATGCAAAGCCAAAAAAAATCACATTAAAATACATTATACTAAAACTGAAGTTATCTATTAGTAGGCCAGGAAGGCTTGCATTATTTTTCATGTTCATAATGGACTCGGTTCTGTAATGTCAGTGGGAAGTGAGCGTACTTGAAAACTTCCAAAACGGCACTGTAAATCATCTGTAGCAAACTTAATTTCTATTATTGGCTTTTCTTCTTGTTGGCCAGCTTGGCACTAGCATTGGATGCTTTTAGTAGTTATGCGTAATTGCTTCTGCTAAGTTAAATTGTTAGAAATATCAATCAAACATACTTGAATCATAATACTACCCCTATCTTAAAGGGGCACTGTCAAATTAGAAATCACTTTTAAAAGCATTCTCTGCACTTTTGATATTTCAGTTTTAATAAACTTTACAATCTAGAAAATCTAATTGATTTTAATAGTTTTTTAAGGCCAGAAGAAACCATTATGATTAACTAGTTTGATCTCCTGTATAGAACAGGCTATAGAATCTGACCCAGTAATTACTGTATCAAGTCTATTTTACCACTTGTCCAAGCTAAATGCAATGTAAAAAAGTAACAGAAGCACAACAAAGCTAAACTAAGTTTGACACAACTTAATTCATGTGGGTAGTGTCATCAGTTCCACACTCCACATAGGTGTAAATCGGGGCAGTCAATAGGCAGGCTGCAGGCCAAATCCAGACCCCCAGACGCTTTTGAATGGACTGCTAAATCTTTTTATTTACTTATTGTCATTATTGTTATTGCAGCCTGAAAAATGTTTCTCTGGAGTCTAGACCATGACTATACCTTGATCAAGAAATTTGGACCTTGGGGAAAAAAAAAATTGACTACCCTGGTGTAAATGTTTATAGGATCTGGGCCACATTGGTAACCAGGATAACCACACTTTTGTGAAATGTTTCAGAGATAAGTCTTTTAACAAATAAAGCAAACTCACCCTATACAATCACTTGAGTTGTAGACTCCTCTACACTTTTAAAAAAGAGGAAACCGTCTTAAGATAAAAATGTTCCATAAGCATGAGAGTTAAAATTAAATGTTTCTTCCACAAGTGGAAATTCTGTATAAAACACAGGAATGATAAAAATATTTTTATAACATTTTAAGTACAGCTTTCTCTGCCTCTGAAATAGACACTAATTTCTGTGTGCTGGTGAGCAATGCTGTCCTTTTTTAAGCTTGCATCTGAGTTTATGGCTGGGTGTAAAGAGCAGAATTGGCATGAGTGACAACAGAATATGAGAAACTAACTGCCTCTGCCCTGCCTCTTTCTGAAGTCAGGCCTAATGTGTATATGATGCGGCATTGGAGCAACAGGGCTACAGTATATTCTTTTAGGTCCATGTTGTAAGTGCCCTTTGATGGGAAATGTAGTAAACACTAAGTCTTATTTTAATGTATTGGCACTCCAACAATACTGTGGTTCTGTAAGAAAATAATGATCCATTCATATTTTAAAATAAATGACAATGCAGTCATAAACACAACCAAAGCAACATATGGCTGGGAGAAAAGATTGTCTATGAACTCAACAGGAAGAATGCTTATTTACAAGTTGAAGATAAGAAGAAATAATCTTTTGTTCTTCTCAAAATGGATTTATCTTGTGAATTTCATTGTTTTGTAATTGGTCAGTTGCACTGTGCAACACTAGATGTATTCTTGCAAAGTTCTAATACCTTCATTTTGTTTTTGAGTAAATTTTTGTTTATTGTTTTTCTTGTATTGATCTGAATTTTCATGTGGTGGTCTGAATACTCTCGGTCCTCAAGCTGGTAGCTATGCTGTTTATGTTGGAGGTCACAGACACTCTTGTGTTGCTGCTTTACTCTTTAATTGGATTATTTCTAGGTAAACAGCATATGTCCAGCATAGTGAAGGGATTTTCAGTCTTGCTTTTCCTGGTCTATATAGTTTCTCATGCTTGCTGCTGTTAATGATTATAGACTGCTACTTCCAGAGAGATTATTGATCACTTTATTAATTGTGATGGTATATTTAAAGATGTTAGCACTTCATTATAAAATCTTATTTTCAGGCATTCAGTTGAACAGATCTGCCTTTTCTGGGCTCAAATGTGGCATTGTAAATTCCCACTGAAGCATTTAAGAGTTATGGCTGTTCAGCACCTCTGAAAATCAGGTTACTAATTTAGATTCCCTACATTTAAAAAAAAAATGACCTGTGTCTTTAATGTGGATTTGTGACTCTAGATACCTCAAAAATTTGATTTTTACATGAATCACATGAGTTTAGTGCATATAAAAGGTGCTGGCTTGATAGCCCTGGTATCTGACATCCTCTGCTTACCCTAAAACAGGTGGGGGAAGTACAGGTTTTGCAGCCTTACTAATGTATTTCAGCCTTAACCTGGATGAAGTACATATAGTAGGGAGGGGATAGCTTATCCTCTGTCCATTCAGTCCTTGGCCCAGCTTCTGAGTCTATCTAGTACAAATGGTGGTGGTGTGCTTTTTATGGTGTGGACACTTAGTCAGGGGGAATTGGACTGAAAACCACCAAACTCATGTTCATATAGGCCCCCTGAACAGCCATTGGTTGGTTACAACATCTATTCACTATCTGGGTTGCCAGAGCAAAACTTTTTCTCTACCTGAAACATTAATGTATTTAGAACCTGTGGAGGGAGTAATTTGCTGACTCTCTTAGATTGCATGTCTAGCTCAGTCACTCTCGATGGAAGAATCCAACCAACCAAGCTCCCCTGTAAATGTGTGATTGCTTTGAGCGTCGGGAAATGCACTCGTGTTGGCCATAGTGTATAAGAAATGAAATTGCTCATATCCCCTTAGACCGTGAGCTCTCTGTGGCAAGGACTGTCTTTATTTTGCTCATTTATATGTTGCCTAGCAAATTTGGGTCCTAACTAGGCCCCCAAGATGCTACCACAATATATATAATAACTACGCTTCCACTGAGATAGGCCTGAATCTTACAGAGTTGATTTTAAACATGTTGCTAAGCTCCTTATGTATTGTTTCTTATCAGATTCTTCTAATACCAAGAGGCAACACATTCACTGTTAAAAACATTGAGATTATGACAGAAAATAATAAGTGACCACAGAGCTGTAACTAAGCATTTTAGCACCTGGGGTGAGCAAGTGTATTTGTGCCACTTAGAGGTGACACGGGGGGGGGGGGGGGGACTGCACTTGTGGAGTTGTGGGGTCAAATGCCTCCCCAGATTTCTGCCTTCCATTTAGCGTGGAGTTTTTCAAACTGTGGGGTGTGCCTTCCCAGGTACACCTGTCACAATTTGCTCCCTCTCACCTATCCCATCATCTGGTCCAGAAGTAGCAAATTGTGATAGGGCATCAACCATCCATCACAAATTTGCCACCCCTAGACCAGAGGATGACAACTGGGAGAGGCAGCAAATTGTGACAGGTGGTTAATACGTACCCATAGTGCACCGCACTCTGAATCAGTACAAGCGCTCTTGGTGAGAACACTCACAGCGGACACAAGGAGTCAAGTAGGCATGCACACAAGTGACATACTAGCTGCGGTGACTGTATGCTGACATAACTTGAATTAACATAAGTTTGTAGTGTAGATACGGGCTTGGATATATTGTTTGGGAGAGGTAACAGCAAAAGTCTGAGGCGAGGCCAAGATTCACTCAGGGGTTTAGACTCCTACTTTTGTGGATCTGGGTCTCCTGCACCTTAATGGCTCAGGAACAAAAAGACGCATAAAAGGAACCAGTATCACTGATCTTTTTAAAAAAAAATCATGACTTGGGGGTGTATACCTCATGATTTTTGAATTCTTGTGGTTGTCAAGCAATCATGGACCTATAGCTGTGTTCGAAAAAGAATTAGATAAGTTCCTGGAGGACAGACAGGTCTATCAATGGCTATTAGCCAAGATGGTCAGGGATGAAACCCCATGCTCTAGGTGTCCGTATCCCTAGTCTCTGATTGCCAGAAGCTGGGAGTGGATGACAGGATCACTCAATGACTGCCTGTTTTATTCATTCCCTCTGAAGCATCTGGCATTGACCACTATTGGAAGACAGGATACTGGCTTGATGGCCCATTATTGACCCAGTACGGCCATTCTTATGTTCAGTAAAACTTACAGTAGATTTTTGCCTTTGAGAAGGATTTAATATGAGATAGTATATTGTTCTACACGCAAGCAGTGACATGCAAAAAAGCACTAAGAGCTGGCTTGAGAGGCAAAGTAACAGTGAGAAAGGCAATCTCCATTGGTGGAATAAATGAAAATGAAGAAGTTTTGACACCAGGCTAGGAA